TATTACAAACTGTGCTGCTATAAACATGGGCATGGATATATTGCTGTGGTATGATAATTCTTTGGGAAGATTACCCAGCAGGGGAATAGCTGGATCAAATGGGACCTCTAATCCTAGTTTTATGAGGTATCTCCATACTGATTTCCACAGTGGTTGTACCAGTCAATGTGAGATAGGAAGAAAAGGTTCAGAAAGGAAGGGGAAGGGGAAGTAGGGGGGTAGGGGAAAAGAAAGAAGGGGAAGGAAAAAATACAAGAAAAAGAAAAAGTGGAAACAAAGTCTTTGTAAATAGAGAGGATGGAAGGGTGGGCAAATGGGGAAAAAAAATAAGAACCAAGATATATCATTTAAAGGTACAAATTCCCAATGATGAATGCCATCATATTGTATAGCTAAAATGTTCCAATAAACTTAATGAATAAAAAAATCTATGAAGGCTGGGGATTTAACTCAGTGGCACTGCGCCTGCCTCCCAAGCATGAGGTCATGAGTTTGATCCCTGGTACCAAAAAAAAAAAAAAAAAAAAAAAAATCCATGGAACAGATTCAAACAGCTATCCAGGAGATTAAAAACTCCACTGAAGGCATGCAGAGCAGATTAAGAGACTCTGAAGATAGAATATCAGATATAGAAGACAGGATTACAGTTAAGGACCATAAAAACAGAGATCTCTTCAAAATAGTAAGGGACCACGAGAAATCAATCCAGCAGCTGCTAGGCGATGCAAAGACGAATAACAAAAGACTGATAGGAGTCCATGAAAAAAACAGGAGAAAGTACAACTGACATAAAAAAACTGTTCACAGAAGTAATAGTAGAACACTTCCCAGACTGACGTGGAGAAGTGAACATACAGATAAGTGAGGCATATAGAACTCCACCTACCCATGATCAAAAAAAATCTACACCTAGACATATAATAGTCAAGATCCCAGAAATCCAACACAAGAACAAAATTCTACAAGCAGTTAGAGAAAAGAAACAAATAACCTACAAAGGAAAGCCCATCAGAATCACGGCAGACTTCTCAACACAAACCCTCAAATCAAGGACAGCCTGCAGTCAAGTATTTCAAGCCCTAAAAGAAAATAACTTCCAACCTAGACTGTTGTTACTGCAAAATTCTCTTTCAAAACCAATGGGGAAATTAGATACTTCCATGACAAAGAACACCTGAGAAATTTCATGAACACCGAACCAGCACTCCAAACGATTCTAAGCAATATCCTAGAAAAAGACAATGAACGTCACAACTCCATGAGGCCCAACAGAGGGAAGCAACCAGGCAAGGTAAAAAACTAAAGGGAAAGGGAGGAAAATACGAAATAAAAGAGCCAACAACAGCAAAACATGCCAAGGATGACTCAATATCTATCAATTATAACTATCAATGTTAATGGCCTCAATTCACCAATCAAAAGAAACAGACAGAATGGATTAAGAAGCAAAATCCAGCAATATGCTGTATACAAGAAACACACCTAACTCAAAAAGAAATTCATAGACTGAAAATAAAAGGATGGAAAACAGTTCTCCATGTGACAGGAACCCAGAAAAAAGCAGGCGTAGCAATCTTATTTGCAGACAAAGTAGATTTCAAACCAAAACTAATTAAGAGAGACAAAGACGGTCACTACATCCTTGTGAAGGGGGGAAACAATCCAAGAGGAAGAGATGACAATCCTAAATATACACCAAATTTGAATGCCCACAATTATACAAAAGAAATATGAATGGACATGAAAAATGAAATAAGCACTAATACAATTATAGTGGGGGACTTCAATACCCCACTATCACAAATAGATCATCTAGACCAAAAATTAACAACGAAATTTTAGAACTGAATGAAGGTACTGAACAAATGCACTTAATAGATGTTTACAGAGTGTTCCACCCCAAAAAATCAGAATACAAATTCTTTTCAGCTGCACATGGGTCATTCTCCAGAATAAGACCACATGCTAGCTCATAGGACATGTCTAAGTAAATGTAAAAGAACTGAAGTTACCCCCTGTATATTATCAGACCATAGTGCAATAAAATTGGAGGTCAATAACATAAGAAACTGCAAAACTCCCACAAACACATGGAAATTGAATAACACTCTTCTGAACAACCAATGGGTCACAGAGGACATTAAAGAAGAAATTAGACAGTTTCTACAAGTAAATGACAATGCCAGTACAACATACAGGAATCTGTGGGACACAATGAAAGCAGTTCTACAAGGTAAATTCATAGCAGTGAATACCCATATTAGGACAACAGAGAGAACTCAGTTAAATAACCTAATGCAGAACCTCAAGCTCCTAAAAAAAGAAGAGCATAACAATCCAAAGCTCGTACAAGAAAGGAAATTATAAAGATCAGAGCAGAAATCAATGCAATGGAGACTAAGAGAATGATAAAAAAATTAATGAATCAAAGAGTTGGTTTTTTGAAAGAATAAATAAAATTGGTAAACCTTTAGCCAACCTTATCAAAAAAAGGAAAGAAAAGGCTCAAATCCATGCAATTAAGAACAAAAAAGGTGTAATCACAACAGACCCAGCAGAAATCCAGAGGATCATCAATACCTACTTTGAGAACCTGTACACTAATAAAATGGAAAACACAGAAGAAATGGACAGATTCCTAGATACATATGAATTGACAAAGTTAAATGAAGAAGATATAGAAATTCTAAACACCCCAATTACAATGAGAGAAATTGAAAATGTAATAAAAAATTTACCAACAAAGAAAAGCCCGGGTCCTGATGGCTTCACTGCTGAATTCTACAAGACATTTAAAGAACAACTATCACCATTACTCTTTAAACTCATCAAGAAAATTGAAAGAGAAGCAATGCTTCCAAATTCATTCCTGGAAGCAAGGGTTACTTTGATTCCAAAACCAGGGAATGACC